TTTTAACTATCTGTGTTTTGAAAAAAAAAAATTAAAGCCTTTGAATTGTTTTATGAATGTACCATGAATTGTTTTAATTCTTTTATCCACTGAGGAAAGAATCAAAATTGTTGTTGATATGTACAGAATAAAATTTTGTGCCATAATCAATAATTAAACAAATAAATAACTTTGATTATATACAAGCATATTACAATCTTACATAAACTGGGTATTAGGTTAATATTTGCTTTCCCTCTTTACATTAGACCGTTTAAAATTTTTTCCAGGAAAATGACAAATTTGCCAAAATAAGCCAGGAAATAGACAATTGCCATTTTATAGCTTTAAAACTAAGACGTTTACTTTCCGTTACACAACAAGATATCTTGAAATAACTCAGGTAAATCTATGTAGTTTATGTTATTAATGATTTCAAGAAGACAGGAAAATGACAAATAAAAATCTACTCACTTTGTAAAATTTTTTGAAACAGAAAGTTGGTTCTTTATTCCTGAAATAAGACATGTTTTGATAGGATGGTATTCTAATCTATTTCTTAACCTAAGATATTGATTGCTGACGCTATCTATTTTGGTTATAAATTACTTAAAAATAGTAGCCAGGAAAATGACTGATGCGACTTTATGTGACAAACAAATTATTAACAGAAAAAATTATTTTCAGCAAATTTTTTCGAAATAATACCCTCTGCATATATTCTGGAAATGCTTACAACTGTTGAGATTAAAAGAATTATATATTGAAAAATTTATGGGTAGTTTTGAAGCTAGTTATTATTGGAAATATTGTTTGTGACATACCAGGAAAATGACATTTTAAAATTCAATTAAAATATTTGAATAAAGAAAACAGTCAATGCTTACGCAAAGTCATTTTAAAATGCTAACAGCAATGGTATTTATTAAAATTTAAAAAAAAAAGTTCTTTTAGTAGTATAGTATTAGATCTTGGAGCAAGAGACTGTGAATTGTCGTATTTCGTGAAAATCACCCATTTGCTTATTTCTGCTGTTAAATGAGGAATGAGTTCCCTTATTATCATTTCAGTGGTCTCTTAAAGTAGCATAATCGCTTATTAATCAATAGATTGATTATAAATTTATGAATACAGTACTATTAATGTTTTTTTTGAAGAAGAAAAGAAAAGCAGATTTTGTCAGCAGTGGAACATTTTTAAAATATTTGAATTCGATTAAGCTCTAAAATCAGTAATAAGGAAAAAAGATGTAAGAGCACATTGTTATAACTAGGTTTTGTAACACGCGTCATTTAAAAAAAAAGAAATAGTAAAAGCCACTACTCTCAAATAAACTACTTAAAAAAAGTAGTATAGTTAGTATATAAAAAAAGTAGTATAGTTAGTATATAAAAAAGTCGTCATATATTAACACATGCTAACTAGATATAACTTATATAATTGCTTGTTGCATTTTTTTTCCATGTAATTACAATTGCTTCCTCTCTGCAGGATACCCTAGTATGATTAGGTGAAACTTTAAGGGGAGGTAAGAGACATCCTAAGTTTCAGAATTGTATATCAACCCTTGGTCGAAAATATCCTGGAAGAGTAGAATGACAGGTACAGGAAACAAAAAGACAAAAAAGATCACCTAAAATATTTATTTGTCAAATATGTTACATGTCCTGCTGCAGAAAGATCTGCGAAAATGCCAGGAAAATTATTTCAAGCATTGTTAGTGATGCACACCATCGGGACATGGGTAGGCAGACTAGATCAAATACACCTGGGTATTGTTGGATATCCGCAGCACGATTCTTACAACCAGATGCAGTTCAGAATTCATACGTGTTGCTTACTCAGCATTATTCAATGCACCCCGAAAATAAAAATCTAGGATGCTTAAATCGGGAGAGCGTAGTGGCAGGGAAACCGGTTCACCATGCCCAATTCATCTTGTGAACAACATCAGTGAAGTTTCGTGAGATCGTGATTTCGAATCCGTCTGGCCGAAAACTCCACGTGTATTAAATTTAATGGAGACTGGTGCACGTGAAATTTGTCGGGGTCACTAAGTTCTCCAAGTTTCCATAACAAATCAATATCTCTTTTTCAAATGAAGGGTCGGATGTTCCAGAAAAGGGTTTAAAATTTCTTCACGTCTATATATTTATGACAGTCTATGAACAAAAATCATCATTTTTTCTCGAACATTTCTTCTCATTATTATTGTTTATGACAGGTCATGGATAATTTTTAATAAGTCACGAAAGGTTTTTTTTTTTTGATTATGAAAATACCAAAGCATTACAATGGAAATTCGCTAAAATTTATACAAAATGTACTCTTAATATTACCTTCTGGTGTTGAATGAAATTCTTGGGTACTAAATTGGAGATAGATCGTTCTTTGTTCAGATCAAAATCACGATCTATGGATGAATGAATAGATTTTGAATGGGTCCTCCCTGTAAAATGGGCTGTGATGTATGTGTCGCTGAAGTCGTATTCTTGGTCCTCGATGACGCCACTCAAAATCAAGAAATATACACTCTGTCTTCAATTCGTCTGGTTTCTCATAGCAGGCTTACTGGTTCAGGCAACTGGCATAAGTAACAACAAATTCCTGTGATGTCCCCTACCTTCCCTTAAAGTGTATCCCAATAATACTGGGACACTCTGTAAATAATACAGACATGTCAAACGAGAAAAAATTTACATTTTGCATCATTATGCTATTAAATATCATGATGTTTAACAAACTTTCACGGCTAGGTTTGCATAATTTGATAGCCTAAGAATTTCTGAATCATGTATTTTTGTTAAATGTTCTTTTTCTCTAGAATGTTAAGGGCTGAAAGTATAAAAGACTGTTCCTATGAAAAAAACTTTAAATTATATTTCATTTGGGTAATGGTTCGATGTTTAATAGTGTTTTTAATATGATTTAAATTTGATTGGGTTTAATGTATCAATAGATGGTTAATGTTGTCTAAATGATGTAGATATATTTCTTTTCAAAATCAGCGTGAATAAGTTATATCTGTATTATTATTGTGTTGTATTTATCTAGTACCAGTTTACTTTTGCAAATATGCATAAATATTTGTAAAGAAATATTGCTCAAATTTTGCATCTATTTTAATGTCATCACTGTAAAGAAATGTAGTATGGATGTTGTAATTAAAACACTATTTGATTACCACATTGCTTTTGTTATTTATTACATCTTGAAGGAGAGCAATATCAAATTTCTTTATACCAAATTTTACAATAATTTTAAGTAACGTAAGCATATTTTTGCTTACGTTAATCAATATCTTCTGATATAATTTTCTTCCTCAGTAAATATGAGGAAATTCGCAAATTTACGTTAGTTTCCGTACTTAGGATTTCAAGTAATTGTGCAGTTTTGGAGAAATGCGAACGCGCCCGTTAAAAAATATCAAACTTACGAAAGTGAAAATAAGAGATTTTGCCAAATTACGTAAGTTAAAAACGCTTACGTAGTGAAATATCATTTTAACTTTGACCACAAAATCAAAACAATCATTTACAATGGACGTAGACTATCTCTTTAAAGCTCTGGCATATGATTCAAGATGCTTTTCTCTATGCAAAACTGCGTTTCTGTGATCAGAAAAATTTAGTAGATCATAGATTTTTGATAAATTTAGCGATAAGGAATGCAGCTTATTATTATTATTAATTATATTTAAAAAAATATAGTAGTAAACGTGATTATTTAACTTCTTTTAACTAAATTGTGTAGTTAAAATATATAAACGTAATTTTCAATTTTAAAATAGCGAAAATATGTCTAGTTTCTTAGGCAACCATAATGTTAAACAAAAACCAATAATATTATTTCTTTATTGAATCAACCACGTATTGTAATATGTCTAGTTTCTTAGGCAACCATAATGCTAAACAAAAACCAATAATATTATTTTTTTATTGAATCAACCACGTATTGTAATATGTCTAGTTTCTTAGGCAACCATAATGCTAAACAAAAACCAATAATATTATTTTTGTATTGAATCAACCACGTTTTGTAATATGTCTAGTTTTTTAGGCAACCATAATGTTAAACAAAAACCAATAATACTATTTTTTTATTGAATCAACCACATATTGTAATATCACATGATTCATATCTAGATTTTATCAATACATTTCTTCAAATTCGCATTCCATGTAGATGATTTTAGTTCGAAGGTCGGCTTGAACAGAGAACAATATTTAACAGCCATAAACAGTGTGTTTGTAGCTTTGTCTTTATGGTGTTAATTACGCCAACATAACGTAAGGATACTTAGCATCTAAAATAAACGCGAGCATGCGCAGTGCGTACGGGAGAGTACGAAAGCTAGTGTGAAAGTTGTTTTTAACGTATGCCTGTTTAGGCAGAGGAGGCGTGATTGTTCTTGTTTTCCAGTGGCGCCATCTATGGCCAAGAGTTCGACTTTTGCCATACCATACGTCACACCCGTTTGTAGAGTGGACCCATTCATACATCCATTCATTCATCCACAGATCGCAATTTTGACCCGAATCAGAGAACGATCGCTCTCCAATCCAGTACCCCCAGAGATTTTTTATTTGTTTCGGGAATATGGAGGACTTTCACGACTCAACCGATTTAACGTTCATCAGTATTTTTACTACACGGAGAGACTTCGGCCTGCGGGGTTCTAACCCACGAACTCTCGGACATGGCCCCAGCGCCCTACCAACCAGGCTATCCCGGCCTTAGCGTAAAAGTGTGAAATATAATATAGAAAGCTTTTTTTTATTTTTTGAAGTAATTATATTGAAGTACTGTTTCCAGTCGAAACAAAATTGATCAAACAGGTGGCTGTCAGTTCTCGGAACTTGCAGGCGGTTATGCTATGAACTTCCAGGTGTAAGGATGGAAAAATACTGTTTTCCTCAGAAAGGGGTAAATGATGTGAAAAAGGTAAACAATAAAAAATATTTATTACAAATCTTTCATTTATGATTTTTTGTCCTAAAAAATAAGAATTGAAAACAAAATTAATATCAATTTCCTTTTATTACTTTTTTAAAAAAGTTTTTTTCAGGAGAAAGAAACCATTTTGGAGAGAGCCAGTAAAAAGGGTTCAGCGTGATATGTACTGGTGGTCCAGTCCATCCCAGTCACAATTAATTCTTAGATAATGCTTGTCATTCAAGGATGCAAGAAAAGTCATGTGAGTGTTCAAAGAAGCCGCTCTCTCCCTTTCAGGAAATTCCAAGCCTTAAAGGTGTTTAAAAAAGAAAGTTAGCCAATAAAGAATTTATAATACATTAAATTTATTAATTAATAAAAAAAATAATAAAAGTGTCAAAAATTTCCACAAACAAAAAGTATTTTTCGAGGAAAATTTTTAAAAATTCTGAAAAAAGTGAAGATTTTTTGTTACAAATGCTTGTACTTTTTTCCCGAAGTAACGAAAAACATGTAAAAGTACTACATTTAAAAAGGAACGAAGTACAAGTAAAAGTGCATACTTTTTACTTTTGTTACTTGTAATGTTGTTGTTGTTTTAAATGTATACTATTCAATAAAATATATTATGGAAAGTTTATTTGGCGGATATTGGTTGTCCGAAATGTTATGCACTCACCATTATGCAATAATAAAAAGTGCAATTTTTTTAAAAGTATAATTGTATGAAAGTATGAATATAAGTATAATTTTAAATTTTTACCTCGTATGCACAGTACTACTTTAAATCCGCATTATTTTAGCAATTATACGCATTTTTTTTAAAATTTTTTTTTCAAATTTAAAACCAATAATTTTATAATTAATTTTAAATTGCTCCAAAAATTTTGTTTAATTTTACTGAATATTTTTAAAGTTACAGCAAAGAAACATAAGACGAAAAAAAGTTTTTTTTTTATATAAGTGTTCATATCTCCATAAATAATTAAGATAGCTTTATGAAATTTTATGCAGTTATTGCCAATATCAACCAAAGTAATCGACACAAGTTATAGCATTTTGCTTCCGTTTTTGACACAGGTTGTTCAAAAATGTTTGTTTTCTTTCGTAATTAATTTGTCAGTCTTTCAAATCTCTGAAGGCTTTAAACTTTATCGTAAAGTAGTAAAAATCACATGAACTAACACTTCTAAAGTTGTAAAATAGTCCTCTAAGTATTAAATAAAAATGTCAAAAACTGAAAGTGTCTCTTCTATTATTGTAATGTAGTGTCTCTTTAATCTAGAATGAGTTAAAGGGTGAGATACCAATTAGTTAAAGAGCAAATACCCTACCACTTTCTTTTATAAAAGAACCTTTTGCCTTACTGGAAAATAATGAGTGCACTTTGGCGGACAGAACTTTCTGAAAACCTTATATTATAAAAAACGCCTATCTTTTATTTTATTATATGATTGTACAGTCGTCAAAAAAAAAAAAGATATCACCCTGAATAACTTTCGTTCTAATGATCCGATTTTCACGAACTAAGTGTCAATCTTAATGGTTCCTGGGGGTGACCTCAAATATGCTAATTAATTAGTGCTAACTATTAATTAAGTTACGAAATCAGACACAAAAACGTACTTTCTCTGAATAAACATATA